AAATGGGATTAACTGGTCCGCAGGGCTCAGTCCTGCCCAAGGCGACAGCTGGAGAGGCTTCGCTCTGCTTCAGCTCTGTTTTACAGGGTGCCTCTCAGAAGGCATCCCCACACAGCAGGCACACAGGCCACCAGTCTCCTCTGGGCCCTTTCTTGAATGCTCAAGCCTTCTGAAAATGTTTGGGTGTGCGGCATGTTCCGAGTAACTAGATCTTACAGGTACGTGGAGTCTTGAGAGAGCTTAGCTTCATCTCCAAGCCCGCAGCAGTTATCAGCACATCTTAGTCCTTTAATCTTCCTCTTCCTGTCTCGCATCCTTCTGGGACTTGGTGTAGCACGGGGTTCTGAAGATGGAGTTGTGTGGCCTGTGACTGAGCTGCATTTAGGCCTGTCAGCTGTGACCTAACAGATTCAGCATGATGTGCTATAGGTGTGGCTCTAGCAGGTAGCAGAGAGATGGCACCTCTGTCCACTTTGCCGCAGTAAATTAGGTCAAGCAGGGAAATCCATGGTTTACTTTACATTGCGATTGCTCATTTTACCCCTGACATCAATCATTTTTTATGGCCCTATTAAGCGTGGCCTAGAAAGGGCTCTGGGAGCCATTAGGGACACCCTGCTGCCTTCAGGCAGGTGACATTCGGTTCCTCTGTGTGGGTTACATCTTACCGACCTCGTCCGAAAGAGCCACATTTGAACACGTTTCAGTCTTACATAGGTTCAGCTGGACCACAAATCAAATCATTACACATATATTGAATAAAAGACGGAAAAGTGCATAGTTACCTTAAGTGTAAGTACAAATCTTGCTTTTGTTCTAGTGGGTATTCATTATATATTTATCTGTGAGGTTTTCTTCCAAAGAAGCTGATTTGGTAGAGGTAAAATGACAAATGAAGAAAAGGCCTGAAGAGGTAACTAAGTTCCAACCACATCTATACCACGTCATGCTAAATCCGTAAGGTCACAGCTGACAGGCTTAAAGGTAGCTGAGTTACAGACGACACAACACCATCTTCAGAACCACATGCTACACCAAGTCCCAGAAGGATTCGAGAGAGGAAGAGGAAGATTAAAGGACCAAGAGGTGCTGATGTATCTGCAGCTGAAAATAGCTATCAAAAGGCAGCAAACATGTGGGAAAGAACCTGCTCTTTAGCTTAGAGGTCAGAAATACACTGGCATTGTCTCTGGAATCAGAATAAAACCAATTTTTCAGTCAGTTCAGTCACTCAGTTGCGTGTGACTCTTTGTGACCCCATGGACTACAGCACGCCAGGCTTCCCTGTCCATCACAAACTCTTGGAGTTCACTCAAACTCATGCCCATTGAGTCAGTGATGCCATCCAGCCATCTCATCCTCTGTTATCCTCTTCTCTTCCTGCCTGCAATCTTTTCCAGCATCAGGGTCTTTCCAAGGAGCCAGCTCTTTGCATCAGGTGGCCAAAGTAGTGGAGTTTCAGCTTCAGCATCAGTCCTTCCAGGGAATATTCAGGACTGATTTCCTTTAGGATCAACTGGTTTGATCTCCTTGAGTCCAAGGGACTCTCAAGAATCTTCTCCAACACCACAGTTCAAAATCATCAATTCTTTGGTGCTCAGCTTTCTTTATAGTCCAACTCTCACATCCATATATGACTACTGGAAATAGCTTTGACTAGATGGGCCTTGGTTGGCAAAGTAATGTCTCTGTTTTTTAATATGCTGTCTAGCTTGGTCATAGCTTTTCTTCCAAGGAGCTTTTTCTTGAGTTTCATGGCTGCAGTCACCATCTGCAGTGATTTTGGAGCCCCCCAAAATAAAGTCTCTTACTATTTCCATTGTTTCCCCATCTATTTGCCATGAAGTGATGGGACTGGATGCCATGATCTTAATTTTCTGAATGTTGAGTTTTAAGCCAACTTTCCCACTCTCCTCTGTCACTTTCATCAAGAGGCTCTTTAGTTATTCTTCCCTTTCTGCCATAAGGGTGGTGACATCTGCATATGTGAGTTTATTGATATTTCTCTTGGCAATCTTGATTCTAGCATGTGCTTCATCCAGGCCGGCATTTCACATGATACACTCTGCATATAAGTTAAATAAGCAGGGTGATGATATACAACCTTGATGTACTTCTTTCCCTATTTGGAACTAGTCTGTTGTTCCACGTCCAGTGCTGACTGTCGCTTCTTGACCTGCATACAGATTTCTCACGAGGCAGGTAAGATGGATAGGTATTATCAACCCTTGAAGAATTTTCCAGTTTGTTGTGATCCACACAGTCAAAGGCTTTGGCATAGTCAATAGAGCAGAAGTAGATGTTTTTCTGGACATTTCTTGTGTTTTTGATGATCCAACCGATGTGGTTCCTCTGCCTTTTCTAAATCCAGCTTGAACATCTGGAAGTTCACAGTTCACATACTGTTGAAGCCTGGCTGGGAGAACTTTGAGCATTACTTTGCTAGTGTGTGAGATGAGTGCAATTGTGCGGTAGTTTGAACATTCTTTGGCAATTTTTAATTGGTTTTAAAGCCTGAAACGGGACATTCCTGCAGTCATCTGTGAACCAACTTTACCCTATAAAAGCTGAATGAGTCCTGCTAAACTGTTTGCCTTGTAAATTGTTTTGTTTGGGTCCCTTATAGTACTGGAAGCTCTTGTGCCATAATTTCACATCAAGCTACAGTGTTTTGTGGTGTAGCTTGAGCAGGGATTCATAGAGAGGAGACCTCCAGAGAAAAACCAAGTGCCTGCATGGTTGTGCCCTGGGGGTCAGGTGGGCCCCTTGGGGGCTGAGAGCTGGTGCCCAATTTCCTCTTCACTTCATCTGGCAGAAGAGGGACAGCCAGACAAACAGACTGCATCAGCAAAGGCCAAGCAAGGTGTTTTAAGGTTGATGTAACTTAGAATTGCACTAAAGTCACTTCTGTAACTGTAGTGCTTTGCAAGCAGTCACGTTTCCACAAAGTCCAGTTGAATGAATGGAGACTCTTGAAATATGCAGGTGTGTGGGGAGCACCCCCACTTCCCCATGCTCAGGACGTGTGTCCAGGACGTGGACACAGCACTGGCATGAAAGATGGAACAAAGAATTCCTCTGACAGTCCCCGTGCAAAGGGTTTCTCCACTTCCTCCTTAAGAATTGGGTGAAACAGATGTATAGAACAGACTTTTGGACTCTGGGAGAAGGCAAGGGTGGGATGTTTCAAGAGAACAACATCGAAACATGTATATTATCTAGGGTGAAACAGATCACCAGCCCAGGTTGGATGCATGAGACAAGTGCTCGGACCTGGTGCACTGGGAAGACCCAGAGGGATCGGGAGGAGAGGGAGGTGGGAGGGGGGACCGGGATGGGGAATACATGTAAATCCACGGCTGATTCATGTCAATGTATGACAAAACCCACTACAATATTGTAAAGTAATTAGCCTCCAACTAATAAAAAAAAAAGAATTGGGTGAAAAAAAGAAAAAAAAAAGAATTGGGTGAAGAAGGTACCTAAAGATGCTCAACAATTTCTGAAACAGATTGGAAAATCCTCTGTTGATGAGGAGCTTTGCCTAAACCAGCCTGTAACTAAAATCCCAGTTTCTCCTGTTGGAAACAGTGGAAATAAGGAAGCTCACCAGGAACTTTCAGCATTTGGATTTGCTGCTGCTGCTGCTGCTAAGTCACTTCAGTCACGTCCGACTCTGTGTGACCCCATGATGGCAGCCCACCAGGCTCCCCCGTGCCTGGGATTCTCCAGGCAAGAACACTGGAGTGGGTTGCCATTTCTTTCTCCAATGCCAAAGAAGTAGGAAGGAGAAAAGAGCAAGGAAACCAAATGTAACTATTGAATAACAGCAACTACAACATCCACAATTACAAGAAGCTATGGTACACAGGGTTTTACTATTCTTCCCCCAAAGGAATAAAAACATTCCATTTTTTAAAAAATAGGTCAAATTCTTCAAAAATGTCAGTGTTGTAAAAGACGGAAAGGCTGAGGAACTGTTCTAGATAAAAGGACACCACAGAGACCTGATGACTAAACGCCATGTGTGACCCTAGACTGCAGGGAAAAATGCTACAAGGATATTATTGGGTCAACTGGCAAAACTAGGATACAGCCAGCAGATTACACAAGGGGTTGTACTAACATCCAATTTAAGTACAGCAGATTATGCAAACTAATAGTCTTCTTTTGGAAAATCCATACTGAAATATTTAGGGATAAAAGGCCATGATGTAGGCAACTTACCTGAAAAAATAATTAAAATTTGAGATAGAGTTGACTAGAATTTTCAGTTTTATGATACACTTTAAAATATATCATTCCGAGGTGCCACATCTTCACTCTGGAATGTTTTATAGTTTCAGGCTGGCACCCAGGTAACTGGTGACAGGGAGCTGCAGACATGTGGTATTTATTCAGGGACTGTAGGGTGGGGACCCAAATTTCAGAGGGGAAAACACTTTATCAGGTCTCATGGTTACAGTGAGTGTAATAAACCATACATGTAATTATTCTTGAGGCCTGCTCATAAGTAAGCTTTACCAGGACACAGTACACTTACACATTTCAGCGGACCAAGAGCATAAAAGCAGCACTGCTGACACTGTAGAGCAAAAAGAGGTCTTTATGCTCACGGAAATCAATGCTTCCCCTAGTTCAGGGCGATGCTTGAGATCCGTGTGTTTCAGCACAACTCAACTTGACATGGGTGTTCCGGAGCCAGGCCCTCCGGCTCAGTCCCAGCGCCACCCACTTACTAGCTGTGTGACTTTCGCAACCCCACGTCTCTGTGCCCCAGCCTCTCCATCTGCAAAACTCGGATAGCGACAATACCTACCCCACTGAGCTGGGAAGCGGATTAAATGAATTAGCACTCTCAAATCATGAGAGAGCCTGGCCTATGGTGAAGAAGCCATGAATATTAGCTTTTAACATGAACCGAATGTGGTAATACCAGAGACAGGAGAAGAAAAGGATGTAGTGCCCTAAACCTGGGCGTCCAGGACCCTGATATTCACCTATGACACAGAACGGCTTTCGGGCGAATCTCAGTCTTCCCTGCCATCCGCAGTATCGGCAGCAACAGCCTGCAGACCAGATTCGAATGATGAACTCCAAACCAAAGACGACGATCATCACGAATTCCTGAAACATCAAAAAGGGCATGTCAGGAAGGGGCATTACCGAGCAAACTAGAGCAGGAATCTCCATGGATATTATACATTCAGGCACTTCATCTAAAACATCTGGTTGTTAAAGTCGGAAGCTAACATTTCCTTTGCTCCAAATCAAGATAAACCCAGAGGACATCAGAACCGCACATTGTTTCCTAGTGTGGAACACTACTTCTCTTCAAATCTCTAATGTCTTGCAAATTTAGGAGTCAGGTTTTTTTTTTCCCCCATTTATTTTTATTAGTTGGAGGCTAATTACTTTACAATATTGTAGTGGTTTTTGTCATACATTGACATGAATCAGCCATGGATTTACATGTATTCCCCATCCCGATCCCCCCTCCCACCTCCCTCTCTACCCGATCCCCCTGCAGCACTGTTTATAACGGTCAGGACATGGAAGCAACCTAGATGCCCATCAGCAGATGAACGGATAAGGAAGCTGTGGTATATATACACCATGGAATATTACTCAGCCATTAAAAAGAATTCATTTGAATCAGTTCTAATGAGATGGATGAAACTGGAGCCCATTATACAGAGTGAAGTAAGGAGTCAGTTTTAATTCTAAAAGTGCAGCCTGAATTACAGGTTCCCCTTGCCTGGTATATGCAGTCCCTTGGTATCCCTAGGAAACTGGTTCCAGGACCCCCTGGACACCAATATATGTGGATGCTCAAGTCTCTTATGGAAAATGGAGTAGGGCTTGCATGCATGTAATCCATACACATCCTTGCATATACTTTGAGTCATCCCTACATTACTTATAACACCTAATATAATCAAAAGTTTTGTTAATAGTTGCTGGCACACAGTTCAAATTTTGCTTCTTGGAAATTTCTGTTTTTTTTTCCCCCCAAGTATTTTTCGTCTACTGTTGGTTGAACCTGTGGATGTGAAACATGGAGATAAGGAGGGCTGACTACATAGTGCAATTGCCCTTAGTTACCTGGTAACGTGAAATATTTGAAATGAAAGAGTGAACTCCAAAAATACAGTTTACAGTTTTACAGAAAGCAGATCCTCATTTTGCTGCAAGGAGTGACATAATCCCTGAGCTCTGAGGAGTTGTTCTGAGACAAAGAGAGATAAATATTTAGGAGTATACTGAGTTTTATTGTTATGATGTCAAAAATCTCCTCATAAGACAGCAAGTTTTGACAGTGTTATCGTGTGCAGCACACACATCCTTTGCCAGAAATGAGACCCTGAAGCCTCTGGAGATGAAACTTGTTTATTACTAGGCTGCCCTTTGGTGAGAGCTGCCTAGAAAATACTTGTTCCATCAGGAAGGCTTTGAGATTTTTCTAGGAAGAGTTGTGTGTGAACCCTGGGAAAGGCCACCTAAAGAGGCTCATTAAATAGTTGGTCACAGAAGGGAAACCACCAGAAGTTTTTAAGAAAGTGTCTCTGGAGCAAACTTGTCATAGTCACCTTGTCATTCCTTGACTGAGTCAGGCACAGAGTTTATCAACACTTGTTTCCCTTTAAAAATAATATTTCCCTCTTTTGTTTTTAAAGAAGCATTGACTCAGCACTTAAAATGTATTAATAGAACAGTATTTATTAATTGAGGCTTCCCTGGTGGCTCAGGGGGTAAAGAATCCACCGGCAATGCTGGAGACCTGGGTTGGGAAGATCCTATGGAGGAGGAAATGATAATCCAGTATTCTTGCCTGGAGAGAACTTCATGGACAGAGGAGACTGGCAGGCTACAGTCCATGGGGCTGCCAAGAGTCATACATGACTGAGCGACTAACACACGTACACAGTTATTAATTGATCTTTACTATAACTGCTTAATTATAAAAGTGATACATGGTTTTTACTAATACCTCTAAACACCACGGAAGTGTTGAGCATAGAAAGTGAAGGCCCTAATCTACTCTCCATCCTCCCGCCCCATGTCCCAGGATAAAAGCCATTATCAAATTTAGAAAAATGGCATTTTTGTTGCAAGTTTCAGGGAAATGTCTGTTTCTTCAGTTAGAGTACGTGATGATATGCCACACTTTTAAAATGCCTAGTAGAGATACAGCATTCTCTCCTTCTGTTATTTTTCACTAAGTAACCTGCAAATATTTCTCATGATGGGAGATAAATCTCCAGTATTATGGCTGCTACTTACAGTGACTTAACACTGAAAGTGAAAAGTGAAAGTGAAGCCGCTCAGTTGTGTCCAACTCTTTGTGACCCCATGGACTGTAGCCTACCAGGCTCCTCTGTCCATGGGATTTTCCAGGCAAGAATACTGGAATGGGTCGCCATTTCTTTGTCCAGGAGATTTTCCCGATCCAGGGATTGAACCCGGGTCTCCCACGTTGTAGGCAGATGCTTTACCTTCTGAGCCACCAGGGAAGTCCTGCCCAAGGCTTAATCTCCACAAATGATTTCATGCAGATAACCAGAGCATGGTCAGCACACACTCGTTCATGATATGAGGGTTTTGTTTTGGTTTGCTTTGTTTTAGTTTTCAGTATACATCTAGGTGGGTTTCCTTGGTGTCTCAGACTGTAAAGAACCTGCCTGCAATATAGGAGACCTGGGTTCGATCCCTGGGTTGAGAAGATCCTCTGGAGAAGGGAATGGCTACCCACTTCAGTATTCCTGCCTGGAGAATTCCATGGACAGAGAAGACTGGTGGGGTACAGTCAATGGGTCACAGAGTCAGACATGATGAGTGACTAACACTTTTTACACTATATATCTAGGTGGTTGAGTTTATTCATCCTTAAGGTGACTGAAGTGCCATGTTAGGAAGAGCTGGGAGTGAACCTGGGGAGGCAAGGCTTCCTTTAATCTTCCTCCAGCCTCACACAGAGCCTGTTGACACCCACAGGGCCCTGTGGCTGGGCCCATGTCGAGCCTGCATTTAGTGGCAGGCCTACGTTTATCCCTGTCTCCTCCTCCTACTTGAGCCAGGGAGTCTGGTGCTCTCCTGGTGGGGGGCCCTATTGTCAGAGATTGCTGAGAAAACTCAAATATGGCCTGAGCAATGAGGCACTACCGCATAAAGGTTCTCCTCTTTCATGGGAATAGCTGCTACCGGTAGATGTATGGCCAATATTCTTGAGAACAAAGACTATTGGAATAAAGTAACATTCTATTAGTATAGTAAGGTAGGTCCTCATTGAATCGTTTCTATGTTGTATCCTGAGGCAGTACATTATAGATTTACTCAGGGCCACTTGTTCAGGAATATTGCTTACTGATTTTTTTTCAAACAACATTGGGAAAAATCCTTCATTTCCAAATAAAACAAGAGGAAGTGGTAATTGGATTTGACTACAAGGTCACAGTTTCTGCCTTGGAGGAGTAAGACTCGAGTCAGAACTCTCTCCTGCTAGAGCATTCCTTCATATTCTTTGTGAGGGCTTGGTTTTAGACTTTGCGAACAGTAAGCTCAAACTCTCTGGTCACCAAGTGAGCATTAGTGAGGTGACTGTGGAACACCTCTCTTCACAGCCCAGAACTGTGGGCCATGAGAATGTTCCCTTCCAAGACTTGAGCTCATTTGATTGGGAGCAAAAGTATGAAAGCAAGTGTGACCAGATTTTGTCTTTTGTTTCCTGAAATTTCTATCTTATTTCAATTAAAAGGAACAAAGCTCTGTGGAGAAAGAGAGGGAAAGTATTATAAATCTGACTGAACTGAAAGGGAATGAACTTGGCAGAAGATCACCTTTTCTTGCCCCTTTTTCATTTCCCAGCTTTGTTGAGGTACAACTGACAAGTAGAAATTGTGTATATTTGAGCTGTGCATATACACAATGTACATATACATGAGGTCCTGATGTATGTATACATTGTGAACTGATTACCATAATCAAGCTAACATATCCATCACCTCACATAGGTAACATGTTTTTTTTGTGTGTGTGTGAGGTAAGAACACTTAAAATTTAATCTCTTAGCAAATTTCCAGTACACACTAAAACTGCTGTTACCTACAGTTATCAGGCTGTACATTAGGTCTTTAGGACTAATTCATTCTGCATGGCTGAAACTTGGTGCCCTTGGTCTAGTGTATCTTTTTTCCCCCATCCTCTAGTTACTGGTAGTTACTCTACTCTCTCTTTCCTGAGTTCAACTTTTTAGATTCCACCTATAGGTGAGATCATGCAGTACTTGTGTTTCTGTGTTAGACTTACTTCATTTATCATCATGTCCTCCAACTTCACGTTACTGCAAATATCTTTTTTTAAAGACTGACTCATATTCTCATATGTTTCTGCCAATCTATCTGTCTATCTATCTATGTCACATCTTCTTTATTTATTTGCCCATTGATGGACACTGAGGTTGCTTCCATACCTTGGCTATTGTGAATAGTGCTGCAACAAACATGTGGTTGTGAATATCTCTTTGAGATTGTGACTTTATTTCTGCTGGGTGATATGGTAGTTCTAGCTTTAATTTTCTGAGAAACCTCCATACTGTTTTCCACAATTTACATTCCAACCAGTAGGGTAGGAGGGTCCTCTTTTCTCTTCATCCTCATTCGCACTTGTTATCTTATGTCTTTTTGGTAACAACCTTTCTAACATATGTGAGGTGATATCTCATTGTGGTTTTGATTTGCATTTCTGATGATTAGTGATGTCAAACACCTTTTCATATACCTGTTGCTCATTTGTATGTTTTCTTTTGAGAAATGCCTATCCAGGTCGTTTGCTCATTTTTAAATCAGGTTATTTAACTAATTTTTGTTATTGAGTTAAGAAAGGACCTTATATATTTGTATATTAACTTCTTATCAGATATTTGGTGAAATGTCTTCTCCCATCTCAGAGGCTGTGTCTTCACTCTGTTGTTGGTTTCCCTTTATGCACAGATGATTTTTAGCTAGATGATATCCGCCTGATTATTTTTGTCTTTGTTATTTGTAATTTTGAAGTATATCAAGAAAACCAAAAGATAATACTGTATGATATCACTTACATGTGGAATCTAAGAAATAAAACTAATCAGTGATTATGACAATAAAGAAGCTGACCCACAAATACAGAGAACTAACTAATGGTTACCAGTGGGGAGAGGGGAGACAGGAGGGACAAGTGAGGGGAAGTAAGAGGCACAAACTACTGGGTATAAAATAAATAAGCTACATGTATATATAGTATAGATACAGCACAGGAAATAAGCTGATATTGTATAAAAACTATAAATGGAATACAACCTTTAAAACTTGTGAATCATTGTGTTGGACACCTAAAGTTTATGATATTGTATATTAACTATATCTTAATTAAAAAAAAAAACAAACAAAACAAAAAAAACTCATTACCCAAACTAACGTCAAAAAGCTCCTTCCTTATGCTTTGTTCTAATAGTGTTATGCTTTCAGTTCAGTTCAGTAACTCAGCTATGTTTGACTCTGCAACCCTATAGGCTGCAGCACGCCAGGCTTCCCTATCCATCACCAACTCCTGGACCTTGTTTAGACTCATGTCCATCGGGTTGGCGATGCCATCCAGCCATCTCATCCTCTGTTGTCCCTTCTCCTCCTGCCATCAATCTTTCCCAGCATCAGGGTCTTTTCCAATGAGTCAGATCTTCACATCAGGTAGCCAAAGTACTGGAGTTTCAGCTTCAGCATCAGTTCTTCCAATGAATATTCAGGACTGATTTCCTTTAGGATCAACTGGTTTGATCTCCTTGCAGTCCAAAGGGCTCTCAAGAGTCTTTTCCAACACCACAGTTCAAAAGCATCAGTTCTTTGGTGCTCAGTTTTCTTTATAGTAGAACTCTCACATCCATACATGACCACTGGAAAAACCATAGCTTTGACTGCACTGACCTTTGTTGGCAAAGTAACGTCTCTACTTTTGGATATGCTGTCTAGGTTGGTGATAGCTTTTCTTCCAAGGAGCAAGCGTCTTTCAATTTCATGAGTCCTTTCCCTGTAAATGGGGATGAGGGGTTCTTGGGGTGTGTCTGCCTCAAGCAAGACCAGACGGATGTGCGGTCAGAAGCCTGTGAACCGGTGGCATCCCCACCCCAGGGGAGAGCAGGCTGGGCGGGATGGGGAGAGTCCAGGCAGCGCTGGCTGCCCAGGTTGACCTTACGCCCTGAGAGGTGTCTCCTTCCTCCCGGGTGGGTATCTGAGCAGACACACGTCTCTTCTGGGAGCAGAAATTCAAGGGGGCAGAAGCAGCAGCCATACTGGCCAGGCCCAGCTCAGAAAACACCAAGCAGGCCTGGCTGACGGTTACTGTCATTGCAGAGCTTCCCACCGGATGTGGCCTACAAGGGGGACACGCCGTCCACCTCTTCAAGGGAGGGGTCAGAGCCCCACCCCCCTGCCTGTGAGGTCCAGTGCAGAGTCCAGGGGAGCGTGCCCATGGAGGGGTCAGCCCCAGGGGGAGTGAAGAGCAAGAGGGGAAGGCCTCCCCAGAAACCACCCAGGAAACACCCTGGGGCACAGTCTCGGGCTGCTACGGGGCTCAGCACACCTGGCTCCGACCCAGAGCCCCGAGGACCCCTCCCTCTGAGGCAGCACAAGGACCTGGAGCCCAGCGCGGCAGAGCACACAGGTGAGGAGGCTGGGGCTGGGAATCTGAGTGTGTGGGGAGGGGTGCGCAGCTTCACAGGGAGGAGTCCTCCAGAGCTGGGGCTGGGCCTGGAGCAAAGGCTGGCCTCATACCATCTTGCAGACTGCAGTCAGAGAAGGCATCCTATGCTGGGAATTCTACTGGAAGTTCTGGGAAGCTGGAGAGCCCAGTTAGGCCCGTGACAAGGGAGACCTGTGGGGAGTCTCCTCTTCTCTCCCAGCTCTAGTTCTGACCTTCCAATTCAGCCAGGCTCCATTTCCAAGACCTGTCCCTACAGAGGTGGTTGCTCCACGTGTAGGACCCAGGGATCCACTGAGGGGACATCAAAACCTGGTCCATCTTGTCTCAGAGACACTGGGCCAGCTGGTTACTGGCCACCCACTGAGCAGATCGGACCTCTGTGCCTGCATGACCCCCAGCCCCAGGCACTGATGTCCCACCCCCTCAGCCTGAACGTCCACCTGCACCTGCACCTGCACCTGCTCGGGCTTTGGCAGGAGAACCCGAGTCAGGGCATGAGTTACCACCTCTGCAGGGAGAGCCTGCCCTGGCTCCTGCCCAGACGCCCACGATGACTGACCAACCGCTGCAGGGAGAATGGGCCCCCGTTCTGGACAGAGACCCAGAGCCCGTTCTGGAAACACCAGGTCCAGGGGAGCCGTGGGCTCTGCAGGCGCAATCCCTGTCTGCCCCCCGTGGATGCCATCACCTCGCTCCCCACCCAGGGGAGACTGAGATCCCTTCCCTTGAGGGTCTTTTCATTTGGATTTTCTCTAACTTTTTTGTGCTCTTTTATTTGTTCTATGGTGTTCTGTATTTTTTTTGGTTCAGTTTTAACGAATAAAATTATTCATTTATTTAATAATAATTTAATAATAACAATTATTGTTGCTTAATAATTGTTATTGTTGTTAACAATTATTATTGTTTAATAATAACAATTATTAAACATTGTTGGAATTTGGGAACACTGAGGACCTACAAAGTGCTCTATAACCACTGCCACCTTGTAGTTTCAGACCCTTTTCATATTTCTGCCTCACCTCCCAGCAAACCCTGTATTCACGGCAAGCACTCCCTGTTCTTCCATCTCCCTGGCCATGAACAAACTTGAAACCTTTTCTTTCTTCATTTCTTCCTATATTCTGGGTGTCCCCATCAATGACTATCAGTGAAACAATGAGGTACTTTTGTTCTGACTCCCCACATTTTGCAAGGCTACGTTTGAGAATTCTTGTTTTTTTTTTTTTTATTTTATTAGTTGGAGGCGAATTACTTTACAATATTGTACTGGGTTTTGTCATACATTGACATGAATCAACCATGGTTTTACATGTATTCCCCATCCCGATCCCCCCTCCACCTCCCTCTCCGCCCGATCCCTCTGGGTCTTCCCAGTGCACCAGGTCCGAGCACTTGTCTTATGCATCCAACCTGGGCTGGTGATCTGTTTCACCCTAGATAATATACATGTTTCGATGCTGTTCTCTTGAAACATCCCACCCTCGCCTTCTCCCACAGAGTCCAAAAGTCTGTTCTATACATTTGTGTCTCTTTTTCTGTTTTGCATATAGGGTTATCGTTACCATCTTTTTAAATTCTATATATGTGTTAGTATACTGTAATGGTCTTTATCTTTCTTACTTACTTCAGTACCTTTGAGTATCTGAAAGAATGGTGTAGGTCCTTTTAAGATATCATGGGCCAGATGAAGCCCTTTAGGCAAATGCCATCATATTCCCCAGGCAGACATTACTGTTGTTAAGAATGACATCTCAGCCAGAAGGCAAATGCTGGGCTCTTCCTGTGGCACAAACAAACTCACAAAAGAAGCCAAGAAAGACAGCTGGAAAAACAAACAACCCCAACAACTAGGAAGCCATTCCTCATGAGACAAGGCTAGAGAATGACCTAACATCCGGGTGACCCAAAAACCCTCTAGAAAATTCATGTTCTGGAAAGAAGAGAACACATGGGAAGAACTAAGGGGAGGCAATGCACATGGCCAGTCTAGTTTAGAGATGGCCTGACTGCTCAGATGGAGACGCACCAGTGTAAACCCTTTGCAGACAACAGTGATGGTCATCACCATGGTAACTGTTTCCTCTGGTGACAACCTGCCCTGGGCACCACACGAGGGAGCAGACCTGGTTCTCGTCCTCTGGCCCCACACCACTCCCTCATGAAGGAAGCTCAGGTGCCATCGTGCCCTGCTGCCTGTCTGACTCATCCATGAGCTCTCACCACCTCCAGGGCAGGCCTCCACTTTCTCCTCTCTGCGCACCATGAACCTGCACACAGTGGGCTTTCAGAACCGCTGGAGACTTCAGCCATCCCAACTATAGCCAGCACCCTCCCCAGGCATTAAAACGCCTGTGGGGTCACTTTGGCCCGAGCACGGGTTCCAGAACCCTGGAGGCTATGACACCCTCTCCACTGTGAAGAGTCAGGTCCCTTTGTAAAGAGCTTCTGAGCTGTCAGATCTGAGCTGTTGTTTCATTGTCAGCTCTGTCCGTCTGTTGGCAGCCAGGCGGGCCACGCTGCAGACAATGGAACTCACAAGCTGAGTTTCAAGGGAGGGATGGCAAGGACAGCGAGGGATACAAACT